TTCGACACTACTTTCGAGTTCCCTCTTTGAGCTTTCTGAGTTGCTCGAGAATCTCTTATCTATATCGACAAACCAAAGAACTTTGCAGAAAAGTCACCACTCAGAGACTTCGAAACTATAATGCAATGCTCAACACAATCACCAACAAACCACCAAGGTAAGAATCTCGCGTGCGAAATTTCAATTTCTTCTTCCGATTGTAGAACAGCAAAAATTTGCTCCATTGCGGGGTTGCCCATTCGTAAAGCGGCAAATTGCTCCTCTGAAAAGTAGCAATTTGCTCAATAGTAGAAGGAGCAATTTATCGGTTTGCCCCTTCTTTGAGCAAAATTGCTCAATTTTGTTACATAGTAGCACTTCACATAGCGGCAACTTTTATATATTCTAGCAATTTCCTGAAATATAAACAAGCAAACGATATTCATTCAAGCAGTTTCTGTTATACAAAACGGCAAATTTGCGTATTTGTAAAGTGAATTTTGCTACTTTGCTCTTCTGTATATCAGCCATAGCGTTCTTACACACTAGCACAACAGCAAAAGCCGCAGGAAATATACATTCCAGCTAATTGGCACTTTTTTGCTATTTGCTCCTTTGCTATTTTGTAACTGAGCCCCAGCCAAGGGAGATCATTGCACAGCTAAGGATGTCTGCGTAGGCACAGTAGGAGACATCAGAGGGAGCAATCTCGTGTCGGACAAACGCACACTATCATAAACTACTAGTTTAAAACTAGTCTCTCCTCTAAAAACGTTGACTATATGTCCAAGAATAAGATGTTGAGGTTAGGCCGCCACGGACTGAACTCATTGCCATTAAAGTCTCAAGGAAAGACTAACTTAGAATAGCTTGGTAATCGGATCTATCTATCTAATAATAGGGATGGCCATAGCTCGGCCCGAGCAAAAGCACGCGTGCCCATCAGGGTCGCACGCAAGTAGAACCCTCTCTGACTAATCATTGTGTCCCCTAATGGAGAATAGTGTACGCTACTTGGTCTTAGCGAAACCGATCTTATTCTCTTGGTAATCGAAGAGCAAGTATCGCCCAGGAAGGACGAGGTTGCCAATGGACCAGGTGTCGATGTCGGTCAGCCCGAAGAATAACAAGCAGTGGCGACCATAGAGCCTGATATAGTGCTCTTGAGGGATCTCCAGGGGAACACTCTGTCCACCAGCACCCCTCATGAACAGTGTCACCGGCTGAAGACTTTGGCGATCAGCGCAATTGATCTCAAACACATCATTATAAGGCTGGAACTTGACAGGCTTGGTCGCAGTAGACTGGAGATCTTTCAGAAGTTTATTCCTGTAAGATTCCGACATGAGAATGCCAGTGGCGCCAGTGTCGATCACAGTAGACATAGCTTCCCAAACTTAACCTCTGCGTTGGCTCCCACTTTCATTCCAATAAGTG